ATTCCGGCCGGTTTGGGGAGGAGGGGGGAGCGTGGGACGTGGCATGCGGGGGCACCTCCCGACCCCAAATCCCCCTCCCCAAAAAAAACCAAAAACCCAAAAAACCCCGGCGGAAACCCGCGAGCCCCGCGCGCTTTGACCGATTCCGCCGCTTTTCCCCCCAAACGCGGCGCTGCTGACGCGCTCTGTGTTTTTTGGGGGGGGTCTCGTGGGTGTTTTTTGCAGCCCCCGCCGGCCCTGCCCCCGCCAGAGGAGCCTCCGAGGCAAAAAAAAAAACCCCAAAACAGGGTCTGCAGGAACAGTAGGGAGCCAGAAATTGGTATTTGTGCCGCTTTCACCCCAAAATGGGCCGTTCTCGGGATGGAAGGGGAGGGGGAGCTTTGGGTTTGGCCGCTTTTCCCCCCACCCCACTTAAAAAAAAAAAAACCGCTAAAATTGCCTCAAAACGCGCTGCTGGCAGGGCCTGACCCCAAACTGGGAATTTACAACAGAAAAAAAAAAAAAAAGGCTTTTTCCACCCAAAAAAAGTGCTTAGTCAGCGCCTTCGCGTGGTGCCTGGGGAGGGGGAGGAGCTTTTGAACCATTTCCCCCAGGTTTTGCCCCAAATCGAGGGGGATGGAGGAGCAGGTTTGGGGGTCGGAGGGGGTTGGGTGTTGTCTCTCTGCCCTCCCCACAGTGACGGTGCCAAAACCGCCTCGATTCGCCCCAAAATGGACAATTTGCTCCAAAAAAAAAAAACCAAAAAGGCTTAAAAACTAGAAATAAGCCCCAAAATAAGAGGCAGGAAAAGGTGAGCGAGCGGAGTAAGTACCGGCGGGGCCCCGGGACGCGCCGACCCCAAAATCCCCCGTTCTCAACCCGGACTGCGAGGGGGGGCGCGGGTTTAACCCCAAAATCCCCGGTTCTGAGCCCATTTTGCGCCCGGTTCGCGCGTCCGACCCCAAATCCTCCGTTTGTGACCTCGCTGTGCGCCGGGGGCGCGGGATTAACCCCAAATCCCCCGGTTTGAACCCATTTTGCGCCCCTAATCCCTCTTCTCCGCCCTGTTTTGCGACCCCCCCAAATCCCCGTTTCTGAGTCTGTTTTGCGTCTGGGTCGTGACTCGGACCCGAAATCCCGATTTTTCCGCCCAAATTGCGCCGGGGGCACGTGCTGGGCCCCAAACCCCCCAAACCGCCTGTTTTCAGGTGCGCTCCGGCCCCAAATTCCCCCCATTTCGCCCCAAATCGCCTGGGGCGGGGCCGGACCCGTTTTGGGGAGGTTTTTTTTTGGATTTTTTTTTTTTTTTCCCGTTCTGGGAGGTTTTTTCTTTTCCTGAGAAAACTTTTCCCCGTTTTCTCAGGTTTTGCTTTTTCTCCTCCGGACCCAAAAAGGCCAAAAAAAAAAGCAAAAGGCGTCGGTGGTGGCACCCCCGGGACCCCCCGGGGCGGGGTTCGACCCCCCGTGGCGCCGCTGCTGCTGGCCTGGGTCCTATCGCGACAGAAGCCCCCTCCCCATATCCCGACAAGGACCTCATATCGTGACAGGAGCCCCCATACTGCGATCGGGACCCCCCCTCATTTATTCACGTGGCTTTGGGGGGACCCGTGGGACAAGGAGGAGGTGACTCCATGTCGTGACAGGGACCCCTTTTGGGAATAGGGCCTCTCATGTCATGACAGGGACTCCTTATTGTGACAGGGACGCCCCTGCCCCTCATTTTCCCAGAGCCCCACACCGGGTGACCCACAGTACCGGGACAGGGGGTTCAGGATGTCATGACAGGGCTCGTCTGTCGCGACAGCGACTCGTGTTCTGCAAGGACTCCGTATCACAACAGGACCCTGGATCGCTCTGAAGAGGAGACAGGACCCCCCCCTGTCGCGACAGGGCCCCTGTGTTGCTCAAGGGACCGTGATGGGGCCCTGCATGCTGTGAATCCCCGTTATCGTGACAGGGACCCCCCCCTATCGCGACAGAGACCAATAAATGCTGAGTCCTGCCCAGCCTTGTATCGTCATTGGGGCTGGGGGGGGTGACCTTGGCGCATATGACGTCATCCCCTGCGCCTCCTGACGTCACGGCAGCGTGGCCTGGGTGCTCTTGGTGACGTCACCGCCGCTTCCTGCCGCGTGTCCTTTACAAGCCCCGCCCCTCCCCATGTTTTTGGCCTCCCCCCTGTTCTGCCCCGTCCCTTCCCTGTTCCTGGCCCCTCATTGGTTCCTTCAGGTCCCTCCCCAGCCCCTTATTGGCTCCCATAGGCCCCGCCTCCCGCTCCGCCCCTTCCACGCCCCCACCCTCTCATTGGTTCACCCAGACTCCGCCCCTGGCCCCTCATTGGCTCCCCGAGTCCCCGCCCCCCCAGTTCGTCACCGGATCCTCCCGCCCGGCGCCGCCGCCGCTTCCTCCGGGCCCGCTCCGGCCCCGGCCCCGGGACCCCCTCGGAGCCCCGGGACCCCCGGGCCCGGCCCCGCCATGTGGCTCTTCTCCCGGGACCCGGTGCGGGATTTCCCCTTCGAGCTGGGCTCGCCCGATGCGGATCCCGACTCGGACCCGCTCCCGGACCCCGCGGCACCGGCCCCGCTCTGGCGGCTGCTGCGGGGGCGCCGAAAGGTGAGGGGGTTGTGGGAGGGGGAGTCCCGTGTCCCTTCGTGTGTCCCCTCCGTGTCCCCGGATCCCTCCACGGCCACGGCCCCGCCATCCCCTGCCCCGCGTGCCCCCGGGTCCCCTCCGTGTCCCCACCACCCCCATCCCGTCCCTCCGTGTCCCCACCCCCGGTGTCCCTCGGTGTCCTCATCCCTTTGTGCCCCCGGGTCTCGCTGTCACCTGTCCCCACGTCACCATATGTCCCCCCATGACCCCCCCGTGTCCCCCATCGCCAGGTCCCAGATGTCTCCATCCCCACGTCACCGCTGTCCCCGCATCCCCATTTGTCCCCTCATGTCTCCCCTCCCTGCTCCCCCCATGTCCCCACCGTGTCCCCACCGTGTCCCCTTGTCTCCCCCTTTTCCCTCACTGTCCCCTGTCTGTCCCCGTGTCCCCAGGCCGATGGGACTCCGGTGTCGGTGTTCGCCCACAGCCTGGGCCCGGGAGGGGACCCCGGGGCCACCGCCCTGGCCCGGGCGGGGCTGAAGCGGCTCCGCAGCCTCCGACACCCCAACATCCTGGGGTACCTGGACAGCCTGGAGGTAACCGGGGACACGGGGGGGACACGGGGGAATGGGGGGACATTGAGGGGACAGGGACACAGAGACACGAATGGTGCTGACAGTGAGGGGACTTGGGGGGACACGGGGGGTGCTGGGGGGTCCCCGGGGTGACCCGGAGTGTCCCCCCCAGACGGAGCAGTGCCTGTACCTGGTGACAGAGGCCGTGACCCCCCTGCGGCGACACCTGCGGCTGCACCCCCCGAGCGGGGACACGGGCGAGCAGGAG